GTGTCCATGCATGAATAATGATATTTATATATTTACCTTTGCATTTGATGTTTTCTTCATGTATGGCATGGTTTATTTAATTTCCTTCCAGTTCTTTCCACTTTATTATTTAGGTCATTATTAACTTGGTTTTTAAGCTTCAAATAAGCTTGTTGGTTCGTGCTCTTGCCATGATTGAGTCTGATTTCTTTGTAAGTGGGGCTTGTACCATTGGTACTATCCTCTTAGGGTCTTTGAAGCCAATTGTCGGTTGTTCTACTGATAAGATTCAACATGTTTGTGAAACTCATTAGTCTCGATAGGTGCAAGTCGGAATAACAACCAATTTTGGCCATTCTTAATTCCTGTTGAGGATAATTTCTGCTACTCTTCATTGTCACTAGGAACCGTCCTCAGCCAAAGGTAGGGTTCTTGTCTATTCCCTCAGGTTTTTTCCTGGTTCTCGGTGGGTGTCTCTAGAGCTCTACTGCCCATGCTCTTAGAGTGACTAGTTCCTAAAAGGGGGTGCGCTAGCTTCACTCTAAGGGCATTCTACCTAATGGCCCCCCCTGCTTCATAAACACATTATATGTTATATTTCCAAGGGTTATCATAATGTTTGTATGAATAATATTTCTTTTAGTTAGAAGATTTATTTATTCAAAATTTGAAGATCCACGAGAAATACTTATCTTGTTGGGGAAAATTTAGGTACATGTGTCCAATTTCTTCCCTAACAATTATTTTATCTTTGAAATAATGCAGGTATTGGTACACCACGGACGTTATCCCAATTTCTTTTCGGGGCAACCTTATCTATCATCTTTGCATGTGGATTATGTGCTGCGAGCCACATGAGCCGATAATAGCTTTGGCTTTTTCTGTAGATTGCCCTTTTTTTTGCTATAAGCCACATTGGGCGTTATGATCCAACTTTTTTCCGTGTTCGTCATGTTTGAACATATTGACTATCTTTGGACCTTCGTCATTATTTTGATTTCTGTTTCTTGAAGCAATAATAGTAGATGTGTTATACCAGAAGGGCGAGTCATTGACTTGTTGAACCACCAAGGGATCTCCACCACCACCTAGACTCAAATCTAGTTAATGGAGAATTAGTTGGTTGAGTGTGTCGGTGTATAGGACATTAGACAAACTTCCGTCATCTACGAAGGTTCATGCTACCGTGTGATCTGATATGATGGTTGTTATTCCAACAATAACTCTTTGTGATATCAATGTAAATTACCTTCTCGTGATCTTAAATTCCTAGCATTGTCTATCTTTACTTTGTGTTTTAGTTCCATTCGTTGCTTAGATGAGATTTTTTGACAGGGGATCTTCCTCTTACATTGCTTTCAGGTCAATCTCATCATGATAGTGAATAAGCTGGTGCAAGATCGAAGAATTTGGTAGAGTTCTTTGGTGTTACATAGGAGGTTATCCCCTTCATCTTATGATGGTTATGACATAAATCGGGTTTTGGAACAAGAATGATCTATTCGTGGAATTTCACAAGAATTAGATGTTGATACCAATAGATGACACCATTGTTCTGTATTGGAACTAGAATTGGTGTAATCGGTGATGTTAATCTTCGGTACGATGGCTCAGGGTGGACCTGCAAGGTTAACACTCCAACACCCAAGTTAGTTACAAAGTCTAAGATGAGTATAGTAAAAAGTGGAGATCAAAAAGTGTATTTTGAATCTCACATGTACTTACTATATATATTGGATAATCTTGATTGGGATTGTGCATGATTGGACCATTGTATTAGATCTTTGGCCGACCAAAATAGTTTCTAGGTATAGTCATTCCTCTAAAATGTTGAATCAATGCTCTAAATCTTACCATTCAAGTTTTCTTCACACTTTAACCAGAACGAAACCAAACATTTAGAAGGGGAATATTTTGAGGGTGCAGACACTGAATGGTAGCTTCTAATTATTTTTTCGTTTGACTATGAGTGGAAAGATTGAAGATAAAGTTGTAGAATAAAGTGATTTCTATTTGCAACACAACCTTAACTTAAAGGACCACAGTGTTACAACTATAAAACTTAGAAGGACTATATATATATATATATATATATATATATATATATATATATATATATATATATATATATATATATATATATATATATATATATATATATATATATATATATATATATATATATATATATATATATATATATATATATATATATTGTTTATGCATTTATATATATATATAATATATATATATATATATATATATATATATATATATATATATATATATATATATATATATATATATATATATATATATATATATATATATTGTTTATGCATTTATATATATATATATATATATATATATATATATATATATATATATATATATATATATATATATATATATATATATATATATATATATATATATATATATATATATATATATATATATATATATATATATATATATATATATATATATATATATATATATATTGTTTATGCATTTAGAAAAATGTGAATCTGAATTCAAATTCTTCAAGCTGAGTGTAATATTATTCAAGAACAAATGACAAACACTTATTTTTAGGATTGTGTGAAGAAAGATATTAATGTTGTAGTAGAAAAATTCATAACGCATATCAGTGTAAAAGCAATAAAAAATGCATGCCAATACAATACATTGCATAGAATAGGTGTAAAATAGTGCAAACCATCAATCACTAACAATCCAATACATCGAATATAATGAGTGTAATATCAGTGTGCAAGTATAGTGTAAAATTAGTCCATAAACAGTAAAAACAATCCTTACAAGTTCAATACATTTCATATATTGAGTGCAAAATTAGTGTAAAATCACTTCATAAACAATGTAATGAAGTAGTTAGTTGTAGTATAAAAAATTGCATATAATTAGGATCGTCTTTGAGGGCGTGCAAGGAGAGATACCACATTGAGCCTCAAACTTGTCGCAGTTAACCCATGGATAAATAGAACCTTATAAAATATTTATAACAATTAAATTATGGTTAAATAATGTCTCTATGTGTCTTCCATGATTAGACTATGACCAATCTACATGTGCCTCTAAGAAACTTGAGACGACTATGAATCTATAATCAGTGTGCAAAAGCACTGTAAAATAATTATATAAACGGTGTAAAAAAACAATCCTTAAGGGTCAGTTTGGATAACTTAAAACTAATGGAGAGGAGAGGAATAAAACGGAATATAATGGAGCGAAATGGAACAGAATGAAACATAAACTACATTCCATTGTTTGGATATTTTATGACGGAGCGGAACTAATATCCCATTTCACGGTTTTGGAAATAGAACGGAGCGGAAAACATTATAATATTTTTATTCCATTTTTGTCCTTTATTTCAAAAACATTAATATAATAAAGTGAAAATTAAAAGGATAAATTTGCAATTATGTTACTAATTTATTCCATTTCATTGGACACACTCCAATTTGAATGGAATGAAAAATTAACTAAAATAGTGGTATTGGATGGAATGAGTTCCATCATATTCTATTTCATTCCATGCATTTTTTTGTAAAAACAAACAAAAGAACATGACATTATTCAACTCCATTCCATTTCATTTAATCTCTTTTCATAAATCCAAACATACTCTAAAACTACACATTGCTTATAACGAGTATAATAATAATGTGCAAATAGGAGCAACATATTTGTCTAACTTGATCTCTAACTCTTGGAGCCAATAGCTTCAACATCTTCTTATAATGTTTGGTGTTATCTTGATTATAGCATGGATTGGAAGAATAACTTTTTTCTCTCACAATATATAAGTTTTAAAATTCTTTGAAGTTAAACGATCGAATTATGTTCTCTAGAACATTGACTGTTAGTTATTATTATTATTAATAATATTATTATCATATTAATTTATTATATATTTTTAATGGCACTCAGGTCTTTATTAGAATTTAGTATTTATACTTTAGTGTAGCCCTTACTCTTTTAGTTTTAGTTCATTCTATTGAAATCCTAATTTAGATGGTTTTTTTTCCATCTCTATGTTTCTATTTGTTTTCTATTGTTAACATGGTATCACAAAGCTTGGTTTGATTTCAAAAACTACCATAAAGTGGTCCGTATATTTTACAACTTGGAGCAACGATTGTTTTTCCCTCTTATTTGGTGGAGCAATAATTTTATCGGCTATTTATGTTGTTATTCATTGGAATTTAAAGGTATTGTTGATTGGCTAGAATATTGACTTTTGAAGATTTTCTATTGTTAATTTCTTACTTCCATCATTGTTTATTGATTGTTTCTTTTGGCTGTATGTTACCATCACTGTTGTACGTTACCATATTCTTGGCTGAAAATTGATTCTTGGATCTTGGTGATATACGTTGCTTTATCATACTTTCTTTTACATGGTAATATAAATTTAAAAAAAATGAGAAAATTGATTCTTGTAAGTAATATATATATATATATATATATATATATATATATATATATATATATATATATATATATATATATATATATATATATATATATATATATATATATATATATATATATATATATATATATATATATATATATATTGGGTCAATTTTATTTGATATTTTACTCAATTGTGGTGTGTGTTGGTTATCTTATAGGTGATTACAATGAGTAATAATAAAGATGACTCTCTTAAGTCGGTTAGTGTCTAACTCATTAGAGACAATTATCTTTATTGAAGTTATGTAATGAAAAAAAAATTGAAAGGAAAAAGGATGTGGAGTTATGTTGATGGAACCTCGATTAAACCTACAGATAAAAAGTATGAAGCAAAATATGCAAAAGAGTTGGAAACATGGGATGTTAGTCAATAGGTGTGCAACTAGGAAAATATGATACTGCTAAGGAGGTTGGGACCATTTGAAACATTTGTATTCTCAATATAATTTTGCAAAACAGTATCAGTTGGAGAGTGACATTAGAGCTCTCAAACAGAATAATATGACTATTCAGTGATGAATAATTTGTGGGATCAATTGGCTCTTATGAAATCGACTAAATTGAAACTTGTTAAAGCGTACACTGGTCAAAGAGAAAAGCATCATTTGGTTCAATTTATGGTGGCGCTTAGGGATGATTTTGAGGGACTTCGTGGGGGTATTCTGCATTGTAATCCTCTTCCTACTGTTGATTCAGTTTTTAATGAATTGTTGACAGAAGAAATTAGAATAAAGTCCCACTCAAATTTGATTCCAGATAAAGGAGTTCTATCCACTCCTCCATCTGTTTTTGCTGCTCCATTTCACAAAGGAAAACCTCAAGGTAGGGTCGAGCTTCGTATTGGTGAATGTGCTTTTTGTAAGGAGAAAGGTCATTGGGAAGCACAACGTCCTAGAATGATTAAAGCAACTAAGAAAAATTTCAAGAGTCCATCATCAAATGTTGTTGTTGTTGCTCCTACTACCATTGGTTCTGGTTCTGATCGTGTATATCTGTAATACAGTGGGAGAAATGACTTTTTTAAAGTATTTTATCGTAAATGTTGCAGTTAACAAGAGTCGCCACCGACTTTTATTTTATCAAATATAAGGAAATGGTGAAAAGAACATGAAAGACCTTGATAGATTTTGAGTTCGAGGGGTAAGTTATGAAAAGGGAAGGTGTTAGCACCATTTTCATTCGTACTTATCTATGGGATTTTAATTGCTTGATCACTTTAAAAATTGCTTTGTGTGTATGATTTGTTTGAAAATATTTTGAAAAACCAATGTAAGGTCAGACTTTGTAATGACTCTTGTATATGTCCTCAAGAATGTGTACAAAGTGTTTGAAAATGTGATGTGTAAAAATGATTTGTTTGTGAGTAAGCAATTTTTTGAGTCTTGCCCACTAAAGGTCGTTCTTGTTATTTTCCTTCTCCTTTAGAGATAGTGCTATCCATACCATTATTTGGTAGATAGCCCTATCTATTGGATGTGAAGGGACGTGTGTAGGATCGTCGTATGGTCATAGAAACAACACGTAAGGATACTTTAGCAATTCGAAGGGACTGTCATCATATTATTCTTAGGAAACAAGGGACTAGATCATTTTTTCATAGACAACTCGAGGGACATCGTGGGACTATGATCTTTATTTGAAGGGTCTATAATGATTTAATCAAGGGTATTTGCTAAAGTATTCCTATTTCTGAGGGACATGGTCAATGTTTTCCGAAGGCAACAAGAGGGAATTACCCTAAAGGTATATGTGTGCAAAGTAATTCAATTACAATTATGTCATCTTGGAATTGTTTAAGATTATCTACCGATTAATTTTATCTTGTCATACAAGCCTACTATTACACAGTTATATATATACAAGACATAAAGTATAAGTGCGGAAAAGTAAAGTCCTACGCTATTATAGGGCCTTGGAGTAGTTACATGATAAAAAAAATTGTGCGGGAATTTAAGCTATGTTATTACAATTTTTATACAACCTATACACTTGTCTAAAAATAAATAGTAAATAAATAGAAATACATGTTAATTTTTTTTTATAAAAAAAACCTAAATGTCTAAAATGTCACTCTTTTTTTTTATTTTTATTTTGGGTTAATTTTAAGCATTTAGAAAATAATTAGTTATCTAATTCTAAATTAATTACAAAGGTTAATTAATTAAAAAAACTAAGTCTAATAAAATTGAATTAAAAATATGTCTAAAATTAGATTAATTAATAAAAATTCTAAGACTGTTTTATTTTTATTTTTTATGGATTAAAATGATTAGTAGAAAATTAAATACTAAAATAAGTAAAAATAGTGGAAAATGGAAAAGATTAGAAAACAAATAAAAGATGGTTGCAAGCGCCCAGGCTCGAACCCACGCCCTCTTCTTTGCCAAGCAAGAACACTACCACTGCACCATGAAACAAACAGAATTTTATACCCTAACAATGATATCTCGTATTCCTCATGTTAAAACTTGCATGTAAGGCTTCAAACATGTTCTAAACAATCATGCTAAGCGATCTTAATTGTTAGAATCAGTTAACAATGCGTATAATTTGTAATACGAATAATAAAAAATAATGTAAACCAAACATGGCATGTATGCAAGTTTTATGTACAAATAGGCATGGAAAGTTACCTATTCTTACCTTGGAGATGTTCTGGAAGTGATTTGAGGTGGTGGTTTGGACTGAATCAAACTAGAATTTGAGATTCAATGGCGCACTTTCTTTGAAAATTTGTGATTTTTGAGACTTTTATTGAGGCAAAGTTTTTGTGTCATTGTAGTATGAGGACTTGAGTATTTATAGAGGAGAATATTTAAGTCACCAAAGAAGGAAAGAATCAAGTGATCACGGTGTTACCAAAAATCAATGAAACATGTTTTATAACTTGCAATTTTTGAATATCCTTGTCTCAAACATGTCTGTCACGGTTTTGGCAAGCTTTTATGAGGTCTTGAGCCTTCTAGAAGATGTCCAAATGATCATAGTCCAACATTAATCCAACTATTTGTTATTTTTAATTTAATTCTTTTACAAAAATTAAATAAAAATTTAAATAAATAGGATAAAAAATATGACCATGTACCAATGGAGTTAGAGGTCTTCTATCATGTCATAAACATTTTTTATTCTCAAAAGTTAGGCCCATTAGTCTAAAAATTCAAAATTGCTCAATTGAGATTTCAGGCATTTCTCAAAAATTGTCCAACTAGTGTCAACCATAACTCTCATAATTTTTGTTATATGAAGGTGATCTTAGACTTTTTGGAAACCTAAAGATGTCTCTTATAACTTTCATGTTGGTTATTTTTTCATTTGAAGTCTTTATCATTTTGTAAATTGCTTTGACAAAAAATGTCTTTTTGTTGACTTTCAAAATGACATGTAATGTTTTGGCTCATATCTCTCAAATGAAACATTTTTGGCCTTGAGCTTAGAGAGACAAAGTTGTAGAGAATTGAATTTCCTTCCAAATGGGCTTTGGTTGAGAAATTTCTGATGAAGCATGTGAAAGTTATACTTGGTCAAAGTTTAGTTGACTTCTCCTTAAGAAAACCTTAATTAGTAATTTTTTACTTTTGATGAAACTTGAGTTTTCTTGATGAATCATGATCAACCCTTGATCAAATGATGAATGTAAGTTCAAAATATTGTTGTTGACTAAAAATATTGAAGTTTGACTGTATGTTGACCATAATTGACTTTTTGTCCAATATAGTTTATTTTCATTCATCTGAGCAATTGACTGAGTAAACTTGTGATGCAAGGCTTGAAACTTGTCACGAGGGTACATTAAAGAATATTAGGAATCATGGAATTCACTTGAGGCATTAGAAACTCAAATTTCTTTGAGAAACACAAAACCCTAGTTATAGATCAATTACTTAGGAGAAATGCTTGTATGCTCAAACCCTTGAGTATAATTGAGCAATTGACAATCCTAGGAGTATGAGAAGGTGTCTTAAATAATTTGTTTTCAAAACGGGAGGACATTTTTTGGGGTACAACAGCTGCCCATGTTCAACCTTCTTAAACCTGAAGAGTCAGATTGGCATGTCTGTTATTCGTGATCTGAAGGTGGAAGAGGATTGAACACTTAAGTGACCAGAAATTTGCACTCGTTAGTGCACGAAGTAACGATGTTGGTTGATAGTATTGCTTGAATGGTATTAAAGATGCCATTCAGAGAGGTGATAGAGTGTTGCCGGAGATGGGTTCATAGATGCCACCCAAAGTAATTGTTGATAGGAGTATCAGGATGAAATCTATGTCTCGGTTTTATCTGAGGGACATGCTTTTTAGAATGAATATCTGAAGGAAATGCTCGTCAGAATTCATTCTCTGAAGGAAATAATTTGGTTATGCAGATAGTCGCCTCGTCCTGTTTCAGGAATTGATCTACAATTTGTTTTTCATTGGTAAACCCGTCTTGTTTCGGAACTTCATACCGCCTGGTCATATAGATAGCTGCCCTGTCCTGTTTCTGGAATTAATCTGCAACCTGTTTTTTTGTTGGTAAACCCGTCCTGTTTCGGGAATTCATACCGCCTGGTCATATAGATAGTTTCCCCGTCCTATTTCGAGAATTAATTTGCGACCTATTTTTTGTTGGTAAACTCTTCCTGTTTTGGGAATTCATACCTCCTGGTCATATATATAGTTTCCTCGTCCTGTTTTGGGAGTTAATCAGCGACCTATTTTTTGTTGGTAAACCCGTCCTGTTTCGGGAATTCATATTGCCTAGTCATATAGATAGTTGCTCGGTCCTGTTTCGAGAATTAATCTGTGACCTGTTTTTTATTGGTAAACCCGTCCTGTTTCGAGAATTCATATTTCCTGGTCATATAGATAGTTGTCTTGTCCTGTTTCGGGAATTAATCTCTGACCTTGTTGATGATATTCTTCTATTTGTGAACTTCACCTAAAACGACAAAATTAGATTTATGTAATGTCATGATGTATGTAATGCATTGTGTAATGATGCTCTCAAAATAAATGAGAATGTTATGTGCATTTCAGTATGCATATGATATGATGTATTGTGAAATAATGTATGGACATAATATGTCGTTGAAGCGTATCGGTAGCTCCTTGTAACAATTTCTAGTTGAGGAAAATAAATCCCAGATTGTTGCTGGGGATGAAGAAAGTGATTTTTCAACTTCTGCTAGGAATAATTTTGCTGGGGATTTCTGCTTTTGGTTCGAGGATACTCCACTGGGGATTTTCGACTTCTGCTTGAGGAAAGAGTCATTCAAGAAGAGTCAGTCATTCACCGTTCTTTTTTTTGAAGGATTTAATTCTTACGTACTCTGACCGGGGATAAAAGAGATGGATATTCCTCCGGTATGCTATATGTCCAGGTTTCAGATACTGTAGAAACTCTTCTAGATATAATGTTGTAGCCCAAAATTTTCCCTTCCTTTTCTTCAAGACATTCTCCTAGAGTTCTAAAATGCTCAAGGTTGCTCAAGAATTGATCAGACAAATTCTCCTCCTAAGCAATAGACTTATAACTAGGGTTTCACTTTTCTCAAGGAAGATTGGGTTTCTAAGGCCTAAAATGGAATTCATGGCCTCTTATATGTCTCAAATAGCTCTCATGCCAAGTTTTATGCCTTGCATCACAAGTTTTCTCAGTCAATGGCTCAGATGACTAAAATCAACTGTATTGGGTAAAAAGTCAAATGTGGTCAACATACTGTCAAACCTCAAGATTTTGGTCAAAATCAACATTTTAAAGTCACATTCATCATTTGATCAATGGTTGATCATGATTCCTCAAGAAAAGCCCTCAAATCATGAAATGTTAAAAGTTGTCAAATTAGGGTTTCCTTAGGAGAAGTCAACTGAACTTTGACCAAGCATAACTTTCACATGCTTCATATTTTTTCCCCAACCAAAGCTCATTTCCAAGAAAACTAAATTATTTACAATTTTGTCTCTCTAAGCTCAAGTCCAAAAAATGATTCATTTGAGAGACATTGGTCAAAACATT